GGATTTCCAAAATCGGTTTTTTTCAAATATATCGAAAACTAATCATGTTAACTTTGATTTTTTAGAGGCATAATGTTGGTCCATTGATTACGCGACTTTGCCTCCATAAAGGGAATAATTAAATATAGTTATTATTAGTAACTTATTAAGTGATGTGTGCATTTACTGTAACGTTTTAATTTTAATAAAGTAGGTGACAGTTAAAAATAAAAATAAAATGTTTCTGCATTTTTGAAATCCTAAAACCTAAGTTATTACTTAATCCTATAATAATATCTATTAAGTACATATAATATTATAGCTGTAGACCATAAGTATTTACTTTACGCTTGGGTGAATTATTTTGAAATAAAAATTTATTTTATAGGAGTGCACATACCAACTTGTTTATTTTTTTACTTCTGTCTAAAGTAATGAACAACTTTTTGATACATTGTAACGTTTCAATATAATTTGTGGTATTTTTTAATTATTGCTGATAAATTATGCCGCAATAGAAATAACGATCATGACAAGCTTGAAACATTTTTATAGACTATACCTACAATAACAATTTTTAGAATATTGAATCAGGACACAAACATTTTATAACATATATTACTCAAAATTTGAAGTGGGATACTCACAAAATGAGTACCTGGAATTATAGAAAAATTCTTACAAAATAACTAATTCTAGAACAATTTGGTTTACTAAAAAAAAATACCAAATATTTACGTCAGAAAAACATAGTTCAATATATTGGATTGTTAATTATCACAGGTTTCATAATTTAGATACAGATATTTTTCATATAATTTCTACAAGGTCTTTTGTTTGACGTAAACAATTCAAAACCTATTATTTGCATACTAGGTATTCTTCGTTCAACAGATATACTGGATTACACTTAGCTTTCTTTTGTATTTAGTTATAGTTATAGTTATTATGTAATATATATGTACTTATATCGAATTTGGAAAAAGAAAAAATGAACTGTTACTTGCGTTTAATATTTAATATCGTTCTCTTAGATGATACAGGAACCAATGGCATTGAAATATATTAAAATTGTTGAATATTCATAACCCAGTTGCAAATATGGAGAGTAAATATAAATATCTCCTTGATCAGGCAGGATAGTTATTCGTCGAAAAATTTAATGACACTTCCATTGTCTTTGAGAAAGAACACCTAACCACAACAACAAGTTCATCCAGGTATTAGCATTTAATACAGAAAACCATTCAATATCCTCGATAGTCCTTGAGATTTTAGCATAGTACTGACAGTTTTCTTGTAAATGATGTCAACATTTTTGCTGTTAATCATACATTGCACATTGAAGTTGACATGTCTCGAAAACAAGCCCTAAATAATATAAAACTTTATATTACAAAAATTACTCTAAATTTAACGATCCTTCATATGGACCGCATTGCCATGTTCCAGGAATAACAAAAATTTTAGTATCGCCACGCCATCTATACAGAAATATTTGAACTAACAATTCTAACTGCAATTTGAAGTTATTCGAGAGATCTAACCTCAGTTGTAATAAATTTCTTCATTTCGGAGATATTGCCAGCGGTAGGGTTAAATGGCACACCTGTATAGGAGACATGAATTTTAACTAAAATATGTTTTGGTTTTCACATTTCAAGTATTTGTGGGAATTGATTACTCTTCAAATCAAAATTTAAAAATTTTCGGACGGTATTGGGAATACTCAATTTTTTTTTGTGGTTACTCAGAATAGTTTTAACAATAAGTATATATTTTTTCTATTATTTCATTTAGTATACCATAGTACACGAACCAGTGACTAAAACTCTTTCTACGACAGTTAAAAAAAAGAAAAGTAAATTCGGGCAACACTTTTGAATCAGATATCAATACTGCTGTAGAAATGAGAACAGTTAGGTTAGAACTAATTTTATGTATTGTTTAAAAATCTATATTTTATTATCAACTCTCATATTTTTACTTTATTAAAAAAAAATCAAATGAATTACATTCACATTATTCTTTAATATCAAAAATCTAGGTATAGACATAGACAATATTCTTTAATGTTGATATTGAGTGAAGCAACTATAGACAATATGCCCCAACTAGCATTGAATTATATCAGAAATATCTAATAAATAGCAAGTAATTGATAATTATCTGAAATAGAAATTGATATATCTAAATATTATTATTTCAAAAAACACTTACCTGAAATACACATTTGAAGTTATCAAATAATGTAATCTTTCAAAAAAACATCTTGTACTCTTATTGCTCTAACATCACTATCTTAGCAAAGTCACAGACACAGAATTAGCCATATAGCCATAGATAAGGTCTTATTAATTCTGCATTTTACTTTAGGATTGCTTTTTCAAGTAGTATCCTTGCAAATGAAATTAATAACATTTTCATTGATTTATGTAACACCCTAAATATTCACTCAAATGTAGATTTAAAAGCCTTTCAAATGGCCAATCCATACTAGCCACTAGCCTAGGTTGTCATACTATAAAAAAAATAATTATAAGATTCACAGATACCTTGGTTAAATGTCAGCTCACATAGATACAAAAGTCAACTAGAAATATGATGATATCGAATTGAGTCGTTCTTCAAAAGTGTGACAAAATAATCTTATGAAATGTTTAAATGTAACACACTTTACAAAATTTTGTATTTGATTCTTGAGAATTAAATTAGACAATATGGTTTGCTGGGTCAATCTCTTATGGAAATATTTTCATTAACCCTATTCAAATATGACGTGTTATATCGGGTGTCCCACTTTAAAAAATCATGTTTATAGTTTGTCACGCTTTTCAAGAATACTTTCCCTAAAATTCAGTACATTTATAAAATACTTCTAGTTGAGAACTACAACATACCCTCTCTGAATTCAAAAATGAGAAAGATGAGGTGATATCAATAATCCTACACAGTTCGTTATGAAGCTCCCTATTCTTAATTCTTTAATTTAATTCTTTTCGTTTAATGAAAACACTTATACAGTTTTCGCAAGCTATAATTTCAGATTTTACAGTGCTCCGCCCGAAAGCCCAATATTTGTTTCGTTTGATTATTTATTAAATTTTTGAACTCTTGGGAGATGAAAAGTGTGAACTTCTTAGAGTTGAAGAAAATGTGCTGATTGACTGGGTGGTAGATGACAAAGAATAAACTTTCGTATAAAAAGATATATTTCCTTATAATACAATCGGAGAAGTTACAATCTTTACAAAATTTGTATTTGTAATACAGGGTGTAAGAAGTTTGACTGCCATTACTTCAGCATGAGATAGAGTAATCATAAATGAACAAAAAAGTTGTATATTACAGAAGGGTAAGATTAACAGTTTTCAAAATACAGCGAGTGTTGATATTGGGGAGTTTCATCACAACGTGACAACAGCGCTTAACTTAACGCTAGCTGATCAGCCGACGTGTGCACGCGGCAGACTTGTCCTGGAATAACAAAAATATAAACAACTATTATTGTGAAACATTTAGTAAATTTCAAAACAATTGGTTCCTAGTTTTTAAATAAATAAAATAAATTATATCGATTTTGTAGTATAAATATAGTGTTGTGCTTAAATTTTAGTAATTATGAATCTCTTACAACCGGAACTTAACTTTTAATCAAATTATGTAATTAAAATACCCAAAGATTCACGCCCTCCAAATAATTATACGTATTAAAAATAAAAGCAAAATTCAGAATTTTTTAAACGCACAAGTACAAAACAAACTATAACATAATAATATGCTCAAAATGTCCACCACCATTTTGTACACGACACCTTTGAATCCAATTTTCGCACATTTGCCTCAAGAAAAGGAAATAGTGGTACGAAGAAAACACTCCGTCACGGCCAAATTCCAGATACCAACTGAATTGTGTATTGCTGGTTACTGGACAGCTTAGAGCCTCATGTTAATTGCCGCGCCGTTGTCACATTGTTTGATATGAATTTTATTGAATTTTAAATTTATTATGACGCTTATTATTTTTTAGAATTAAGCGTAAAGAAGATACAAAAGTGATAAACATTGTATTTTATGGTATTCTATGCACGCAGTTAGTTATGTAATTATTCCTTAATTAATCGAACTTTTATACATTAAGTAAGTAATTTTGATAATTTCTTTTTCGGAAATGGTTGAGTTTAGGACCCATGTGATATAAGGTTTTTTTGTTAATTTTAATGTAATTTATCGACTGTTAAAATTAAGGCAGTCAAACTTCTAACACCCTGCATACAGGATATTTCATAACTCTACCGACACAGAGCAGGCACGTACTGAGTATTTTAAAATATGCCAATTTGTTATGTAACATTTTTTTCTGGAATGTACCATTGAATAAATATTGGCCTATGAAGATGCGTATTAAATTTTGAACATAATATTTCCGCAATGCCTTTACATAGAGCAACCAAATTTGGTACATGATTTGCGTTTATTGTTATCCGTAATTGGTAAAAATATCAATTTGTTGGAAGCCCAATAAGGGCCGTACAAGAGGTATGCCAATTATTAAATAGTTTCACCAGTATTACAGGAAATTTAATTTCAAAAATTTTTCGAAATAATTAAGATTTTTGAGAAAATCGGGATTTTGTGAAACAGCGTCATTATTAATTGAATCAGACAAAAAGTAAAGTATGTAGTTTTACGGCTAGTAGGCCATGATTTCATGTTAAAGTTTTCATCTAGTCTAGACGGTAAAAAATTTGAGTTTTGAGTTACATCTTAAAGATCGACATCAATCTACTGGTTGTACCATCCACAACTATATCATCCAGTATATATAAATAATTAATAAACAGTGCACGAATGTTTTAATATGCCATCGGAATTCATCATCCCATGATTAATGTGCCTTTATTTTTAAGGCGAAAAAAATGTATTGTAACGAAAGATACAACGCAAAACGATACTAGACGAGAGGGCGAAGTATCAGTGACGTATGAAAATACGCGGGAGAAATGGTAAACTATATAAACAGCATAGAAAGCGAAATTGCTTTTATTAAGACTCTGAAGTTTGTTAGTGATAGTGATTGTTGGTTAAGTTTGTTGCCATGACTTTGACAATAACACTGGTGAGTGGGTATTAACTATAGCAGTCTTGAAAGTGTATCTGCGACGTAAAGGTCTTGCACAATGAATATGGTGTACTAGACATAATCTGAAAAACATTTTTTAATAATTAAATATGTCTATAAGGCTAATTTTTTACCATTTTAAAATACATACATTATGAAGCCACAGTATAGTATCTTTACCATAAATATTTAGGAACTTTGTAACAGGTCAATACTTATTTACTATATTTTCTTGAAACGGATAATACTAATACTTAGAACCTTTTTGAAATAACAGTTTGCGGAATAATAAGTGTTATGGGTTGAATACATTGATCTTAATGACTTTATTATGTATAAATATATGGAGCGTATCGTTTTTGATATTTTCGAAAATTATATTTTTATTTTCACTAATAATAATACTCGTAATAATAGTAACTGTACCAGTTGAGAAGTATTTCTTTCTAAGTGCAATATTGTAAGTAAATATATGGTTCAGAAATTTTTTAACCGCATTTTAACACAACTATTCAGTTAATAATAATTACTGTTGAATACTGAAACTAGGAGCCTATTGGAGTCAATAAGGCCAAAAATTCAACACATAAATCGAAAAATATGAACAGTGAAGAGTAAAAAAAACGCCTTATTTTTTAGCATTATTTTTCGAATAGATTATCTCCGTTTCTTCTCGAAACAATGTACACAATCAATTCATCTATATGGCAGTAAAAATTGCAAAATTGCTTTATTTATGTGGCATAGTGGTGGCAACTTATGTACTTAATACTGACTTTGCTTAGAAATTATTTAATTTCTTCATATAAACTTATCTCTTAACAAAACAAAGCATAGTAATCATTGTAGTCACAGATATTCAATAACTTAAAGTTTTACTCCCAATGTAGCACCTTTATAAATTTCTAAGGATATTTATATTTTTTTCAAAAATGTTATAATAATAATAACCCCTGGTTATTTACAAGGTCATTTATATTATTATATATCTCACTCATATGGTCGAGTTGCTTTCATGTGAAAATATAGATGAATAGATAAAGAAATTGTAGTTTATTTTAACTATGCAGGTATAATTTGACATTGAGCATTTACTATGATAATTACAACAATGAATAATATCATAGTATTGAATATAGGGGTTTTATTATCTTATAGGCATACTTAACATACAGTGGGTGGCTAAATTATTAGGGACAGTACTCATATTTATGAAGTTTCTAGTTCAAATTTTTGTTTTGAAAAAACAAATAGGTCTTCACAAGGTTTTTTTATTTTGTATTGCAGCTGGTACTGTTATTAATATTTTTGTTGAGTAGCAACCTGATATCCTGCATCATTTATCAGATAAGTGAGGTAACTCTTCGTATGTTGGTAGTTTGTTAAAAACTTTTGTTACAGTGAGATGCTAAAAAATATGTCTGAATCGTTTTCGTGAGTTTTTCCTGTCACAAATTATCAAAACGTTATTGATATTTCGTATAGAATTACTATAATAAACAATGAAGGAATTGTAATTTCCCAAATGACAGTCCGAAGGTGATTGACAGAAGAAAACCCGATCGGTCGTTGTCGACCAAAAAACCACCTTTGATGGAGGTCATGAAGAAGATGCGGCTGCAAGGGGCCCGATAACTCCAGAATATGACTGCATTCGAATGAGAATAACTAATTAAAATAGTAATAATAAAGATTCTTTTGTGATTATCTCAATATTTTCCGACGAATCAGCGTTTCAAATTTTGGTCGACAAAACTTCATTTCTCCGACGACGCCTTGGAGAGAGCAGATCCATCCAGACTGCCTTGTGGTGAGGGTTAAATACCCGGTTGGTGTCATGGTATGATCTATGATTCCAGCAAAGGGCTTAAGACGCCTATACATCGTGGAGGGGATCATGAGGCAGCATCCGTACAAGCGAGTACAAAAAATCCGGCTACTGCCATAGATTGAAGAATGGTTCCCTGGTGATGCAGAGTCCATTTTTATACACGTTGGGTACCGTGCCACAAAGCCAGGAGTGTTAGTGCATTCTTAGCCGAAAAAACATTACCATTTTGCCCTGACCGGGCATGAACCCTATAGAGAACATATGGGGACTCACCAAACGTGCGATTGCTAATGAGCTGATCACCACCAAGCACCAATTGGTTGAAACTCTCGTCAGAGAATGGCATCACAACGTCGAACTCCAACAGAATTCTAAAGTCTGTATAGAGAGCTTGCCTCGAGAATAAAAGTTCTAATTGCGGCAAAGAGTGCATCACTAAATACTAAGATTAATTTTAGCAGATTTCCATTAATGCACATATAGCTTTTACGAAAAAAATAAATAGTTTCGCTCACGTAACTCGTTTTTGTGATCTTAATAATATACTCTTTTGAATAAAAAATAGCTGCAAGCTATAGAACCAACTGTTTGTTCAAAAAATTCAGTCAAACTAGAAAATAGAAGAAACTGAATATTTTCCCTAATAATTTGGCCACCCACTGTATGTAGCTATACTGGATGTATGATGTATGTATGTATGGGTGTACCTATAGATGTAAATTTTTTAACCTTGATTTTATGATATCGTCTTATTTTTATTAAACATATGGAAATAATTCAATTACAGTTCTTTACACATACAAAATTTTTAATACCTCATTTTAAAAGAATTCAAAAAAATAATACTAATTATGAAAAATATATGTTATTAAGGATTGTTACAATTTGAGCACAACTGCAGCGATAATTTATTATAACAAAGGGGTTTAGATAACTAATTACATTCAGACGATTATAGTGGTACATGTATTCATTTATTTCTTTGTAATTCCGCGGAAATATGGGTCACATATAGTCCCTATTATCACCTAGGGGCGTATGTGTATATCCATTCCTTGGATTATACGCTCCTGCGTGATAAGAGGGACGATATCCTCGTTGATAATGCAAAGGAGCGTAAGCACCAAACCCATTATGTGAGTAATTTCTGAGGAAAACAGTATGAAGAAAAGTCATTACAAACGTATTTTTTGTGGTATATATGATGAATAGCCTATTACTATAATTGTGCACCAATATAGGTGAATATACTCGTATATGATTTTATTACCTTAAGGACTTAATTCTAAAAGAAACTTCTGTCGATTTTCTTTTTGTCGCATACGTCAATTTGCAAGACTAACGATATAATTATATCTACTTCAATAAGTCTGCTCATTACCATATATTATAATTAAATATACTTACAACTCAAATTGATAAAAAGAATTGAACAAATGAAAGCATACAATTTTCTGTAAAATCAAACAGGATTCTGGTATTTTAGTTACGTGCCACAGACCCACAAAAAAAAGAATTCTTTTGGTTTTTAGATCAGACCTATCATTTCTTATAGATTGCTGAAACAAATTTGAAGAGTAAACAAATTTTGATAGTTTACATTTTTGTAATAGCAGGGACAAGTCTCTTCTACATTGAATATGCAGTTGTCTCAATACTACCTTCAATAAATATGAATATTGACTCTATCCCAATTCTAAATTAGGCCTTTGGAAGAATTTTAACCCTGCATAAGGTCCTACCAACCAATAAAAAAATTTAAGTCGGCCTGTGTTATTTATTGACTTTGCATTAGAAATCACTAGAAATGATTAAGGTAAGCAAATTGATTCACTCATTAATAATGATCACAATGACTGCTATAGCACCCAACATTGTATTCTCTAAATGCAGAGACCTTCATCAAGCTTAAAAGCCTCTTCGCTAAATTTTCGTATTGAAAAGTCTCATGGTAGTTCATTCTCAGATGGTTTTCTCCAGCATGTTGCAAGGTAAACACGTTGTACATACAAGTAAATGTGCAAAAAACAAATCCTTTTAGATATAAAAGGCTTTCCGTATGTAAAGTTACTATATAAGTAGCTATCTTTTATAGTTATAAAACATAGTTACCACAAAAGCCAAAGTGGTACTGGTAAAAGGTTCAGCAAATTTTATTAAATTGATTTATTCAATCGCAACAACATTCCACTGAGGTTTAGTGAAAACAACATAAATGTATTTGGTTATCTAAATCAAAATATTAATATTGAAGTACATGAAATATTTCTCCTTGTTTGACTTTCTGTTCATCATTTGATTCCAATACTAATTAAGTTAATAAAATTGCGAATGAAGGGCAAAAGCGAAAGTTTGATTGAAGTTTAATAAGGTTTGCAGGATCACTTTAATTATTTTTTTAAAATCTCATTATCAAATGTTCTATACAATTAATTTTTCTCGGATCATCAGTGAAAGAGGCTTCTGCAATTACAGCTATAGAGATTTAATATACAATTTAATCCGATAAAATTGGTGTATCTGGTATTTTTAGTTTCTAGTTTCAGTCCAATAATAGTAATTTGAAGTTGTAAGATATAGATATTAAAAGTAGTATTACATCTATGTTATAATTTTTAAAACATTTTCCAGCTCTTGTATATATTTGAAACAAACTATAAAAGTAGTAAACTTGATGCTTTTATAATATGGAGTTTTATCTTTATTTATTCAGGGAAAATTTCAAGTGAAACTAACTGAGAAGTTAAAAGTTAGTTTGTACGAAAATTGTGACATTACATTGGTGAGTGATGATAAATTGAAATTTAATTAATATATGTGCAAATATTAAAAAAACCAAAGTCATTACTACAAATTAATTTAGTAAAATACCAACAGAAATCGTCAAGTAGAAAGCTATCAATAATAATAGTGGTAATAGAGCAAATGCAAATAGAAAACTATACAGGCTGTCTTACGGTGCATTAGAATATTTCAGAGATTACTTCGATTTCAATTTTGAAAATTTAGACTCTGGGATTTTCGGGGGTGCTCTTTTTAAATAAAATAATGGCATTGTTGTAGCACTTCTGCTTATACCGGAAGTAGCTGTCAACTTCGTTATTTCAATTTAAATACCCTATATATTATTGCATTATCGGCAAGACAAATTAAAAATAAGTACAAA